CGCTTTCACAAGGAAACACACAGCGCCTTCACGACATGGCAGTGGCGGCAACAACATTACTACAGCGAAAATAAAAGTTACACCTTCTTTCTTTGCGTGAACATTTGGGCGGCATTATGCAAATCTTCCCACATCGTGAGGTAGACATGTGGGGGCGTGTTAGAACGAGCCGTTTTAGGTAGGCGTGGTTGACTCTTAACTTTTATAAAGGATATCTCTTTGGATTTGAGACTTTAGTCTTTGCAACTTTACAGATCTTTTTTATGCACCAAGAGCTTGTAACACTTCAAAGAGAAAGGAAACATTTAAATCGCATCATATGATCCCTTTAAATCTAAATGTTGACAAAAGTACATATATGGATTGACTTAATGAGTGATTTCTGAATTAAGACCAGCATTTTTTTTGTTTATAATAACGTGCATATTAATTATGAAACTATGAAACGTGGTTCCAAAATCTAAGGTGGCACATGCTTCAGTTTATATAAGTTGTACACTTCTTTACCACTTTCTGCTTGCTCAACTGTACTAAACACCAGGAGTGGGAAACTTTACAGAGAAACAGATTAGCAAAGCGTCATCATTTCTCTCTGTCCTAGTCAGTCAAAAAGGTGTTTTTTGCAGGGCCCCACTCTTTCTTTGCTCTCTGCATTGCACGTTTTTCAGCAGTTTGGATTTGGACGTGTTATGTTGGACCATAGGGGTGTTGAGGTGTTGCCTCCTGCGGGCTCCACCCCTGCTGAGGTGCTAAATCTGCTTGATGGGATGTTGAGCGTAAACATTTCTCCTTCGATTAGAGATCTGCGTGTGTCGACAGCAGAAACCGCAGCAAGCATCAGCCACTCGCTGTCGGCACATATCAACAACAGCTCCGAGGCAGGAAGTATGTCAGCTGGAAGCTAACTGGCCGTTTGCCTCTTTAACAACCCCGTCACCCTCACACCTTCGCTGGCACCTTGTTAGCCTTGCAAACGGCCGCAACACACACACACACAGACAACTAAAAACATTATCACCTCGAATCACACTTGTTTTCTTACTGTTCTTGGATGTTTTGCCTTTATAATGCAACTGATGGATGCAGCGAGTCTCATGATATTTCATGATAATGTTTGTATGAGACTCACTGTGTTATTTTAAAGTGGCCTTTATATATGGTGATATCTAAACTTTAACCTTTGAATTTGTCATTTTTCCATCTCATTTACCTTTAGGGGTCTCCCTCCATCCATCAAATTTTTCCCTTCCTTCCTGTAGATGTAGTACTCTTCGGGAGCATGTTCATTAGATAAAACGGTAGTGTAACATGAACTTTTTGTTTGCTCTGGAGTGTTTATGGATGTTTTTGTGATGAGTTTGCTCTGTGTTTGTCTACTGTGATGGCCCTTTTCTTCACAATAAGCCAGAACCGACTCTCTTTGATTGACAAAAGAAGCAAACAACCAATAAAATACTAGTGAAGTATTTATGCCTCCATAATTTTGGTGTATATCTGCATGTGTGTATGATTTGTGTTTGTGGCATGAGTATGTGCACTAGTGTGTTTTACTGTACACTCAATATTTTACTGTGTGGATAGATTTTCGGTTTTGAGTAGATGTTTTTGCAAAGAAAAGAAAAACAAAACATTCTTAAACGCAGTTCTCACTGTCCCCATAGCCGCAGTTGCACAATGTGGGTTGTGAGTGTTTTTTTGTGGGAAATAACGTGGATATTTTTAGTTTGTGCCATATGTCTCCAAGAGCACAAGCCAGGTTTATTAAATCACACGCTCTGAGGTAGCGCAAAACACAAAGCAGACACCCGCGATCATCGTCTGGCAGAAAACAGACACTTGCTGACTATCTGATTTCAATGTTCTCAAGTATATGTGAGTGAAAGAGAGAGAAACATTGTGTTTATTTTATTGTCCCCATTTGCGTGTGTCTGCTGTACAAACTCAGCAGCAATGAAAGCTTGTTTCTTAAACCTCCTTATTTAACCTCTGCTTTGTATCAAAGGTAAGATTTGACTTTGAACCAGTCTTTGCTAAGGGTTACCTATGCATAACCTATGAAACTTCAGTGTGCACCAAAAAACGATTTCATATTGCTGGGTTTTAAATTTGTATTTGGGTATATTTGTCTGATCTGTACTGATTCAATAGGTTCATTTTGTGTGTGTGCTGTCTTTTTCAGATATGGACGAGTGTGAAAATGACTACAATGGTGGATGTGTTCATGACTGCATCAACATCCCTGGGAACTACAGGTGCACATGCTATGACGGATTCATGCTGGCAGATGACGGGCACAACTGTCTTGGTAAGATGCTAGAAAGAAATATACACACTCAGTTGCCTCTCCTGATGGACTTACAGATGAGCTTTCTTTGCCCGGCTAACGATCTCTGTAATTACCCCCTTCGCAAATGTAAACAAATCTGCCTCAGTGATCTCCGTGCAGTGCCTCGGAAAAGGCCAGCCGAGCCACATCTAGCACCAGTATTCCTTCCCCGTTGTGACTGGAGCATGCCTACAGGAACCTCGCGATTATTTTCATCTCTTAAAAATATCACCCAAATGTCACCAGTGGCGCAATCGCGTCCAATTCCCAGAAATCGGTAGTCGGGTCCCATGTTTATGTTAGCAGTTAAAAATGGAAGTAGGGGAAGAAAATGCTGAGAGAAAATGAATAACCTGACATCTCATATTTATTGAAATAGTTCAAAGATGAAATTCCATGACCCGGAGAGTTAGGGCCGGGTCTCATGGTTTTGCTGGATTGCTGTGGGGATTCAAGAATTCGTTAAAAAGTGTGGGGTTTTTTTTGTTTTTTTTTGTAGCGAGTCTGTCTGCATTACCCCTCTAAGTGAGTGCAGATGTGACTTTGGTTGAAAGTGACTTATCAACCTGAAGTGTGGTGGCTTTATGGCGTCATGGTGACTTCGTATTACAGTCCAAACATCAATGTCGCAAGAGATAAAGAGATAGAGGACAGCACTGATGTCAAGTCAAGTCAAGTCAAGTCACCTTTATTTATATAGCGCTTTTAACAATACAGATTGTGTCAAAGCAACTGAACAGCATTAATTAGGAAAATAGTGTGTCAATAATGCAAAATGACAATAGTAAACTAATTTTTCAGTTAAAGACAGTTCATCATTGAATTCAGTGATGTCAACATCCAGCTCAGTTTAAATAGTACTAGGACAGATCCTTGTGGCACTCCATATTTTACTGGTGATAACTGAGGTGCCTCTGAGCAGCTGGATGAAGAACTTGAGACGCTCTCATCTCATCTCCTCTCTGCTCTCATAATCCAAAGCAAATATGTGTGGCGAGCTGAGTTTCAGGATGCTGAGGTCATCCTTTTTCATTAGATGCTGTAATGATGATGGATCCCAGAGCAAGACACCAGGGTTCAGACCTTCAGAGACCTTTAGCACCTCCTCTGCCTTGCTACATCAACTTGCATGATTCCTTTAGATGGTTTTCCCTAATTTGTGTCTCTTTCAAAACAACTGTGGTGGTACAATGGTGACATCAGATAATAGTAATACCATGGTAATTAGATATCACAAAGCACTTAAAGATGAAGTGTGTCATTTGTGAGAATTAGTAAGCATTGCACTAGTTGGAAATTCCGAAAGATTTTTGTATGATCTGACTGGTACAAAAACGTATGATTTAAAACGTCACCATGAAGGTCCCACCCCTAGTTGGCGGTTTTGTATGAATTTCTGCAATCTGACTGGTACGAAAATGTTAGATTTGTACTGTAGGTAAACCATGACCCCACCCCTAGCTGGAGATTTCCTAATGATTTGTGCGATCCAACTGGTATAAAAACGTATGATTTGTAGATAAAACATCACCGAGATGGTCCACCCCTAACCCTACCCCTAGTCTGAGATTTCGTATGAATTTGTACAATCTGGCTGGTATGAAAACGTACGATTTGTAAGTAAAACATCACAGCGAAGATCCCCCAATCGGCAATATCATATGAATCTGTATGATCTGACTGGTATGAAAATGTACAATTTGTAGGTAAAACGTCACCATGAATGTCCACCCCAATCCCACCCCAGTTGATGATTTATTTTGTATGAATTTGTACAATCTGACTAGTATGAAAATGTATGATTTGTAGCTAGAATGTCAGTGAAATGTCAAATGAAGGTCCACCTGAAAACCTATCCCTTTAGGGGGATGAGAGTAGATATCATATGTAACATTTGAATGAGATTGTACAAATTTATAATATGCAACCAGTTTACTACAATACTTGAGACTGTTGGTCATTTCTTCACCACTAGAAGAACCAAACAACTAAGAAAAAAAATGTTTGCACTCCCTCCGTCCTCCATTGTTAGACCAAATAAACAGTCATGCCCCTAAATCACGCAGTTGGTTGAGACAATGTTGCGAACATTTGCACTTTATTAGCGCTAATAAAGTCTGTCTTTGTCGGGCAGTCCAATGCATTCATGTTATTCTGATCAAAATCACTTGTTGTAGTTATATGATTTCATAGGTAGACACTTCCCACTATTGAACTATTGGCCGTAAAAAAAGCAAGGTGTTCTTAAATTATTTATTTGAATACTGTGGTACAACCATGGAACCGTGACCATAAAACCAAGGTGTTACCATAATACAGTGCCTAAAAACTGTGATAATACTGTATGGTAATCTCTATACTTCTTTCCTTCACAATCAACCCTTCATTCTTCACTTTCTCTAACTTTACTTTTCATCCTCCTCCTTAAAATCTCTCTCTCTTTCTCCAGTCCTGTCTTTGCACTCTCCCTCTCTCTGTATTTTCTTGGTTATCTTGGCTGTGGGTCTCTTTGGAGTAACTCCAGGCTGTTTCCCTAGAGGCGATAGACTTGCCTTCTATTTGACATCTTTATTGTGGAATGTCTCAAATACAAGTCTAAATGATGGCTCTGGGAACTAAGACAAGGCCGTAGAGGGCCATCAGCAGTGCTGAGGGGGCTCTCCTGTTCGAGCCTCCCTCCCTCTGCTGCTCTTATTATGTCTTTCCCTCTGCTTCCAGTTATGTGTGTATGACTCGCTACATTTCTCTTCATTTCTTTGTCTTTTCTGTCTCGTCCTCTCTACTGGATTTAATCTGGTTCTGTCTGTATTTGTCTCAGCCCTTTTCACCTCTATCTAGAAATAGATTGACACAGAAAAAGTCAACCATTTAGAGATTTTTCTCTCCCTGTCCTATTCTTTGTCTTGTATGCTGTCTCTTTTTTGAGTCACTTTAATTTTCATTTGAGAGGTTCAATAAAGCATTTGTGGCATAAAGTTTATTACCACATAAAATGATTCCAATAAGCAGTGGTGGACGAAGTACACAAATCAAGTACTTGAGTAAAAGTACCTAAACAGAGACACTGATGTTGATGTGTCTGCATTCAAGCATTTCAGTGGGCTTAAATAGATCACCCTTTACAGCAGATTTAGTTCACAAACAACTGACAGTTTTGACCTAAATATGATTTTCAGTTACAATAATTAATCCTAAAATTCGACATTAGTAACTTACTTTTAGCAGCATCAGTCACGCGCGCGGTTCTTACTTGTGAATTCAGTTCACAGGAGACTCGCACTAAACGGATCATTTGAATCAGTGAGTTGTCGACTCGAGAACAGCTGCAATCGGTTAATTCTAATTCGTGAATGAATCGTTTGGTGCGATTTGCGAACCGATTTAAAAGGTTCATTGAAAAGAATCAGTTCGTTCTTGAATCAGACACCGCTTCTGCGTGTCAGTGCACGTGATATATTATAAGGAGTAACGATATGTTTTATGAAATGTAGTGAAGTAAAAAGTACGATCTTATGCTTTGGAATGTAGTGAAGTAAAAGTAAAAGTTACTCAAAATAAAACTACTCCAGTAAAGTACAGATACTTGAAAAATGTACTTAAGTACAGTAACGAATTAAAACTACTCCGTTACTGTCCACCACTGCCAATAAGTCTCTGTTTTAATAAAATGGCTAAAATTGTCTTTCGGTAGAGCTTAATTCAATACACTTCCTTGGTCAAAGAGATGTTGTCATATGGTGCTTCGTCATGTTTCCTGTTACTCTCTCCTGTCTCCTTAATGCTGATGCTTCTCATTCACACATCATCTGTGTGTGTGTTTGTTTGCTCTTTCGAAACCTAATTCATTTTCATTGGCGCTTTAATGTCATATGACGTGTTCTCATAGCCCCCCTCATGTTTCTCATTGGCATCTGTGCGCATTATGGCAAGTTCAGATGGAAGTGAAACCACTAGAACTATTGACTTTCTCGAAAGGTTAAATGAATCATTTTTATGATGACCTTTTCCTGTAATCCTTTTTTGTGCTTTTGACATTCTCTTTCTATTTCATTTTCTCCTAGTATGTATTTCTTAACCTTTTCAGAGATAATTAATGACGACTTTTAACTAGATTTCTACATTTTTTGATGGAAATGTGATTGGTTCATACAAAACTCTCTGTCACATGGGTTTTGTGGGTGGTTCCCAAAGTGTTGCTATGTAGTTTTTAAGGTTGTTAGTGTTATAATTGGAACAAGCATGTTAATAAGCATTATTAACATAAATTGTCTTCTATAAATCTTATGTTTAAAATGACATTGTTTGAAGGGCGAAGCATCATATTTCAGCAACTTGTATTCACTGTAGTTTATGTTCTCAGCTTACAATAAAAGTAGTATTCAACTCCGTTTTAAATCCATGTTTAAATCCATTTCACAGATACCCAACCCGCCCAAGCAAGAGTAAAGCACATGGGATGAGCAATAGCAATTGTGATGCTTGCCTTAGTGTGGCTTGTGCCACTGATTATGTTCTGCATAAACAAACGCGCACACACTCACAGAGTGTGTTCAAACAAACCTAGTACTGAGTGCTAACCAAACCGCGAGCTCTTTGAAACAGTATACGGAAATCAGTGCTGTGGCTTGTTTGCCTGGCTGATCTTGTGTAGGAAGTCATTTCAGATCTCCACCTGTTAACAAGTTAAAGCTTTAATTGATCTAAGATTGGCTAATGGGGAGCTGATTAAAGAGCAATTTACTGCTGCTCCTCTGTCTTTTTCATTTCCATTCTTATTTGTTTTTTCTCTCCGCGTAGACAGCTGGACTCAATGTGTTGATCATTTGGCTCTTTTTTTTATGAATGCCTGCGCTGCCGCTGCTGTTTATTTATCTTTTGGCTGCTTTTCCCTTCTCGCTCCAACATCAGAATGGGAGAAGAAAACTCATGTAGTTACAGTTGCAACAGGGGTGATGTTGTAACTGAGGTCACTTTAACGA